TTACATTTGAGTTCATGTTTAAAGTTTCTGTAACATGTCTTGTACCTATTTCGCTCTTTACAGTATGTCCGTCTGTTACTGCCATTGCGTTGACATCGAAACTTTCTTAAAGCTCTACGTGCATTTCTCTTGGCCAATTTACATTCTCTGCTGAACGGTCTAGATTTAGAACCGTTTTTGCACGCCTTTTTCATACATTCGGCCGATTTCAATATCGTATTAATGAGATCATTGACAGCACCATCAATATCAACCTCAAGTTTAATCAGCAGGTTTTCGCCAGACTGGCCCAATTCCTGACGTAGAGTATTCAGAAATGTAGTACAGAATGAGTCATTCCAAAATGTCTTATCAGTAATGGTTGGGTTGTTATTAGACACATTTGATGTAGGAGTCATTTGGGGGAAGCTACATGATAACTCGAGTGGAAAATGATCTGAATCATAGTGTTCACCGATATTAAAGTGTTGAAAATATTGGAATAATTCCGGGGAACAAATAAAGTAGTGATTTACACTACAACCTTTCTCACTACAGTATGTAAACTCACCATTTATGTCCCCGTTCACTCTACCGTTAACTATGAATAAATGGAAAGCATAACACATATCTAGCAATATGCAACCAAATCTATTTACCGTACTATCATGAGACTTACTATTCTCGACTGGGGTGTCATCATCGTCACAGTATGAACCAAAGTTGTGAAAGTCCTCACTCGACACACAATAGGATTATTGAGTTGACCAGTTCTAGCGTTCATATCTCCACATATAATCAGATGAGAGTTGCTGAACTAGGAACTAAGTTATCAACTAGGAGTTGTTCAAGTTGATCAATTCTGCAAGTTGAGTCACAATTATCATAATACGGTGAACCCATAGAAGGTATATAGGTACATATCAGTTTTATATCTTTGTTGATGGAAAATATTTCTTTTGACAAATTTACACTAAGAGCTTTATCAATATGTAATTTTGACAACATATATAGTTTCTTGATTGATTCATGAATGCACAGGCATACTCCACCGGATAGACGACCAAACTTGGACAGTTTAACAGCAGGACAATAGAATACGTCGTATCCATTTAACCAGTTCATATTTAAATTCTCAACAAATGTCTTTTTATGGCAGCAACCCATGTGCTTGCCATAAAAAGGCGACTATCTTGTCGTAAGAGGCGACTAACGGGATCGGGTGGTCAGTTTCGCTGACTTGGTTGACACATGTCATCGGTTCCCAATTGCGCAGATCGATGCACATGCTGTTGATCACTGGATTGTCTGGTCCAGACTCGATTATTTACAGGCCGCCGCCATATAGCTGGAATATTGCTGAGTGCGGCGTAAAACTAAACTCACTCACTCACTCACTCTACTAGGCATATAATTTTGAATTTCCTGAGATAGTCAATGAAGTCTGAATCTTGGATTTTACTTTTCAAACCATTTACATTCCAGCACAGAAAAGTAAAATGACACAGAAAAGGCACAACAACATTTGGATACATAGTTGGACTACAGACCCAGTTAAATATTTTGGGAAGGTATACTAAAACATGGGATTTATCCGTTAACCTAGATAAAACTAATATTGTTATATTTAGAAAAGGTGGCCGGATATCTTCTAAAGAAAGGTGGTCCTTTAATGACCAACCTGTAATTGTCTCTGATCATTACACTTATCTTGGTATTAAGTTTACATCTGCTATGAACTGGAAAACATCTGTTACTGAATTATCATTGAAAGCTAAGAAAGCATTGATAAGTCTTTTATCTGCCTTGTGTAAAATTGGTGTGTTGACGCCCAGTATTTACTTTAAACTATTTGATTGTCAAATTCAGCCTATTCTTTTGTATGGATCCGAGATTTGGGGATTCCAGAGATATGAATGCATAGAAAAATACATTTGATGGCCTGTAAGAAATTTTAAATGTAGGACCCTCTACACCGAATTGTATGGTGTACGGTGAATGTGGGAGGTATCCCTGTATATAAATGCTCATATTCGATGTATAAAATTCTGGTTTAAGATATTGTGTATGCAAGAACATAGATTACCCAAAAGGCTTATAACATGCTTGTTCATTTGGACAACATTGGTAAAGTGACGTGGGCATCTTATGTAAGAAATCTTCTGTTTTCACATGGTTATGGTTTTGTATGGTTAAGTCAGTCAGTTGGTGATGCAAGTTTGTTTTTACTCAGTTTCGAGAAAGAAGTCTTAATATGTTTAATCAAGAATGGCATTCAGTAATACATAATAGTTCACGGTACGACTCTTATAGACTATACAAATCACTACTGCAGCCGGAGAAATATCTGTCGTTTTTAACATCAAAGAAATTAAGATATCCATTTATACGTTTTAGATACTCGTTGTTAAAACCTATATTCAGTGTTGAGTCCTATATCTTCACAGTTAGCCAGTTGAAAAATAGACGTGCTCTTGTTCAGTTAAGATCGGGGACTCATAAACTACGAATAGAAACTGGTATATTAGAGAGGCTAGAAATGACAGACTATGTAATATCTGTAAACTGCCATATATAGAAGATGAATATCACTTCTTGCTTATTTGTAATAAATATCAAGCACTGCGGCGTTTGTACATCCCTTTACAATTTCATTAATATCCAACAAGCCATAAATTTAATACGCTTTTGCAGTCATTGAGTGCAAGCGTCTTAAAACATTTATCAGTTTATATATATAAAGCTGTGTCACTGAGACAGTCTTCATTATTGTTATGAGAGAGTGTTTTTTGTAACTTGCATTAACATTGATTAAGTGATAATTATTATGGGTCACAATGTTTAAAATTTTGAGTGTGGGTTTTGGCTCGCATCTCGCATCATATATGTTCAATGGCAATAGTATCTGTAGCGGCACGGCTTTTTGATAGCGCTTCAGAGTTGCATCCCTTGGCAGGCTTTATTTTGTTTTGACTTCCGGGTCTTGTCACGTCTTGTGTTTACGATGGCTTTCGTGAACGTTCTGAGAGAATAATGATGGAGCCTAACTTTGCTAGAATGCTCGAGAACTGTGTAAGAGCTATATAAAGGCTGGTTGTTGCGTTATCCCACCAATAGTTATACACACATCTGTCTGCCATCATCGAGTTTACCTAACATTTCAAGACTGACCGTGCTTGCCTATTCAACTGTTGTCATTGTAAACAACCTTTAATCAGTATATCTGCTCTAACTGTAATGTCAAGACTCTGGTGAGTTAATATTTTATATTTGTGACCCAATATTTTAGATTTGTGACTCAATTGCATTGTACTAAATATTTGTAATTGTCATTCATTGCAGTTTGCTAATTGTTTATTCAATAATATTATTGAATATTTTAGACTTGTCTGTGTTCTATTTTGCTGGTTCAAAGGGAACTCTTGAACCTTTTGTCACGTCAATTATAACATACTTTCTCACTCTGGAATTCACAATGAGTACTGGGTCTGTGGCCTATATTACTTTTCTGAAATAAACCACTTCGAACTTGCTGTAAATACCATCAATACAAAATACAAAGTCAACAAATTCACTTGTTATACTCCGAGTGTCAGTGTCAGGATCTCTTTGATGAGGCGTAAAATCACCGAGAACCTAACCTAGCCTATCTCTTATTATGGGGGTGAGAGCAAGACCTGAGCACTCGCTCTCTCCGATCTCCAGATGGTGACCTCCTTGTCTCTGAGTTCCTGGCTCTACCGTCTGGTTCTAATCTTCTTTGTGCTCTTCAGATATCTTGCTACCTTTGTAGTAGTATCTTATACTTGGCGTTTCTGTTCTAAGTCTCTGTAGTTTTTTTTCGCTAGTGCTATGTTAAGTCATTGGCAATGCCAATTCCTTTCTCCTTGAAGACGTATCAGAGCTTGACGGAGTGCCACTTGTCCTATGATGGGTCTTGTTTTATCTGACCCGTGAAGATCCGGGATAGAATATGTCTTCAGCAACCCATGCTTTCCACAAAAGGCGACTATGCTTATCGTAAGAGGCGACTAACGGGAATCGGCTGATCAGGCTCGCTGACTTGGTTGACGCATGTCATCGGTTCCCAATTGCGCAGATCGATGCTCATTCTGTTGATCACTGGATTGTCTGGTCCAGACTAGATTATTTACAGACCGCCGCCATTTTGCTGGAATATTGCTGAGTGCGGAGTAAAACTAAACTCACTCACTCACTCACTTATCTTGCTTGGGGGAAGACAGTCTGTGTGCTCTCTCTATATCACGCGCTGTGAGAAGGGGGAGGTTCTCGGTTTCTATAGCACATTTAAGAATGTTCAAGACTTAACTTTCACTTCCTGTTGAGTATCCTTCGGTGTCTCCGGTTTTCCATACATTACCATGTTGTACCGTCGGTTTCGCTGCTATTGATCTTTTATTCTAGATTCTAAGTCCTTGAAGCGAGTTTCCATACCAGACGTGTTGTCCACTGGAGATCATATATCAGGAGCAGATATCGCGCCTCATTTCCCTTGTTCCTCTTTAGTAGTCTTGATACCTGCTCGTAATTCAGGTTACAGTTATTAGTAAAATCACACTCGAGTCGGTATGCGTCAGCCATACGCGGAGTCCAGTCCGACTGGGAAGTGTTGGGTCGAAGATTTTCCACCTGTCTATAATCCGTCGGAAGTCAATGTTCTGGTCTTCCAGACTTCAAAGGAGATCCCCATTGTGCTTGCATAATAGTTTTTTACAGTATACAAGTAACAATAAAACAAATGTCTTTCATTTACATCAGAGATCAAATTGACACGTCTTAACCTGCCAAGGGAGATAATCCTCTTGGTTTACCTTGTAATGGATGTCAACAACGAGCTGAGTCAGCTATTCACCCGCGTCCTTTCTCACTGTTACGATGGTACCAACGGTAACAGGATGTGTCCTAATGTTGGCAGTATATTTCAGTTGCGGTACCAACCCTCATTGTGGAGATATGTCCTAATGTTGGCAGTATGTTTCAGTTGCGGTACCAACCCTCAGTGTGGCTGTCAGCACATTGTCGCTAATTGGAAAATTTGGAGCAACGACTTCATATACTGTGCTGTTTTTGTATACTCCAGAACTATTTCCAACTACAATACGGTAAGAAAGGCAAGCCTTACCTCTGGACCTGTACTTGTAACTATATTTCGTTCGGTAGATTGATAATTATGGAAATGTCGTTGTACCCGGTTTTCGTGATTGGTATCCAAATGGGATCGACGGACCCTTTACTATATCATCCACAAGAAATCACTGCAAAAACATAGTCCATAGTACAATTCTGACTATATCATGAACGTGTGTTCATGAATCGGTGTGAAAATACCAGGTGTTCGCGAGTGAGATTACCCTACCCCACTGGGGGCACCCGTCACAAACATTTGCAAAAGCCTCTCCTGAAAAAACCTCTCCTGGTACAAGTCAAAATAGGGATATGCAGCAGACATCATCGTTGTCACTGGTGTGTCTGCCATAAAAGCTTTACAGAAGATGGAACAAACTTCGGCAAGTGTCATATGGTCATATGTTGTGAAATATATGCACAAAAGGCTGGAACTGTGGGAATATTACTTGACATGAAGGGAAAGTTGAACATTGGAAATTTAAAATCACCCCTTTTGTCATACAGCCTCGTGGAGAGCTATCTGTCTGACTGAATCTGTATTTATAGATCTAAACACATCCCACACATGAGGCGGTCTCACTCGGGTTTGGTAGGGAGAGTCAGTGGAAGGGAATTGGCCATTTGATGGTTATTGAACGAGATAAGATTATCGATATGCATGTAGTTACATTTGAACTTCTTGATCAAATTTCCTTGATGTTGCCAACCCATTAGAATTTCTGGTTCACATGCATTAAGAAACAGATCTGCACAGAGGGGAGCACAACTGGTGCCCATTGGAATTCGTGCTTCTTGTCTTCATGTTTTACCCCCAAAATTCACATAGACGAAGTCCAGAAATTCCCTTAAATTACATTTGTGACGTCATTCCATTGTCTGTTCGCTCCATTACTTTTCAGGAATGGAGCGATGTGTACAAGTTTCAAAATAAAACCTTCATTTTGACATTTAATTTTGAAAACAGAAATATGCCCAATACTTCGAATGTAATTTAAGTAGGGTAATATCCTCGTAACTCTCCATTCCTTAAAAATAATGTGCCTCGGCCCCTCCGGGGCCTCGGCTCCATTATTTTTAAGGAATGGAGAGTTACTCGGACATTACCCTCTACATATTATGTATTTCTCAGTTAACTTTACATGACTTTTGCTTTCAGTTTTGAAACATTATCCCGAACCTTTGTCCCAATATGTAATTATGTAATTCACACCCTGTTTATTAACAAATACCCAACGGATCAACGAGTGAAGTTTGTCATATGTAGGATGGTGCTGTACAACGTTGAAAAATCTAACGTTTTGACAAAACATTGAAAACATGGATTTTGTGGTACCTATGCTGGACCCGGCAATGTATCTCTCAGTGTACTCATTGTTATGGAGCTTTGGAATCCAGTACTAAAGACGAATGGAGTTTAGTCAAAGCAAAGGTTGATAGTACCGATAAATGGTTTGGGCAGATTTCTTCTTCAGTTAAAACTGACCTTGTATGTAGCCTTAATGTCTTGATATGCAGTTATGTTTACTTAAATGGCCATGTAAATTGAGGCCTTGTGAGTGGGAACAAGTACAAACTTTTCTTGTGATACAACCATACTTTGGTTGATAGCTGGTTGCCAAATGATAAAAACACGGCTGCTCACTTCATTTTGGCCCATGTTTTGCTTGGCTGACAAAGGTAGTTATTGTCACTAATGCAGAAGTCGCCCGTGGCTGATCTACATGTTGGTAGCAGCACAATGAGTTTTTAAGCCACAATAAGTGGATTTACATCACGAGCTGCAAAGTCCACGTTCTGCAACACTTTCTTCACAACCTCCATAGCACATGTTCCCGTGTTTGTTTAGAGGAACAACTGCCTTGGTTATGATAAAGTCGGAATCGTTAAATGGACACTTTTGCAGGATTCTTTTATCATTATGATTTGTGGCCCTTTTATTTCATCGAACAAACATAACATGATAAATGTCATGTGTAGACCTGTTACGTTCTGGCGCTCGGCATTAATGGGTACAACAAGGACTGGTCGGCTCGGAGTCAGTATAATGTTTCTGAGTGGGGTATTCATGCTTCGCTGCGGCATGGTATCTCAGTGGGCTAGCACTATAAAATCAGCTTTAGTCTGGGCTAGTACAAGAGCCGCACATACACATACACACGCATGCACGTCGTCATATGAGCGAAATATTCTCAAGCACGACGCTAAACCCAATTCACCTCAGCTGTTATAAATAATTATTCAATGGACTGATATGAGAGGTCAGGAAAGCAGAATCAACATGAACGTCACTATTAGGAATACGTGTTACACCCAAAATAAATTATAAATTAAATGTTTTCCGATTGAATTTTCGGTCATAAGGAAATTAAAACTTGATTTCATTTGTTTATTTTTCAGGAATGTTGGGTTTGGTCTTGGATCCCTCGCAGGAAGAGTAGGTGGACTATTTGCTCCCTTTTCCAGGATGCTGGTGAGACTTCTACTAACAGTTATTCTATATTACTACACTGTAGTTTTCATAACACCTGGTTGTCCGGAATGCATTTTGTAATATGTACTCATCATTGATTATTGAACATGAAATGTCAAAAAACGATACACATATTTATCAGAGACCAAAGCAATGAGGTATCACTCGGATTCCAACAGCATTGTAACCCTTTTTATACAATGTCCGCGACAGGAAAGTGTGTTTATTTCAGAATGCTATGTCATAGACGGACTGACAGACATTCGATTAACACACTACATGTAGAACATCATAATAGACAGAAACAGTAACAAGTGAAAGCAAATGCGACAGGCGAAATATAAACATGTACTCTTATTAATGTATGTATACATACTTTACAAAATAGACCAATCCTTTTCTATTTTATATTTATGTTACCTCCTCTTCCTTGGACCAATACATAGTTACTGTGTTTATTTCACTGTCCACTTTATTATTTAATTGACTCAGCCTTTACCAGAAATGTATTACTAATATATGGAAAGTTTATTTTGCTTACTTTGATATTTTTATCATCGGCATTACAGATTAAGATACAGTAATATAAATCAAACAAGAGGGTTTGAGTGATCCTGGCACAGCCAGGCTGGTAACGCTCATGATCATGTCAGGGCCCCTGACCCTTTAATACGTAATCCTGACAGTGAATCTGACTTTTCCTGGGAAGCGCTGCCTAGTCGGACCCACCAAGAACTTTTTGGAGAATGACTCACCAAAACTCAGAAGGGATGTGTTCCTGACAGCAAAAATAAGAGATTGGGAGCTACTAAACCTAAGCAACAAGAACTTTGGGGAGTCAGACAAGGTGCTTGTGCAAGAGTGACATTTTTATAAGCGAGGTCCCCATATTTGCCTTGTTTCTCCTGAGTCTTATCAATCATATTTGTGTCAAAACCTTCAATGTTATTAATAACGAACTTCGCACAGTACTTCAATTACATTATGGCATTATTCCAGGTACAAATCACCTGATAAATAATATATCTATCTTATGTGACAGTACCGCAAATATCCCTGGGCACCTGGCACTGTGTACGGTTCCTGCTGCATCGTGGTGGCTATCCTGGTTCGATTTCTGCCAGAAACGAACACACACGAACTGCCGCAGACAGTTCCTGAAATGAAGCAGTGGCTGAACCAGCAAAGAGAATCACAGGAGAAGAAACAGAAGAAGAGCACCATTGCAGAAAATGATGCTGATAGATATATTTGTAATGATAATGAAAATCACTGAAGTGTTTAGGGCTCCAAAATACATTATTTAAATATTCAGTCGATATGAATTCAACTGAACGGTGATTCTACTGTAAACGATCTCCTTAAACAAATTATCTTTGTCTTTAATCAAGAGATTAGATTTTAGAAGTTTGGCTATACACTCCTATTTGTCACTAGTGCACATTTATGCATTCACATTGATTAAATTATTTGATATGATACTGCGATTAAGTATTATCCTGAATTAAATATTTGGTAGTAATTTGCAGCTGTACATTTTTGGTACAGATATGTGATAGTGAAATCACTCACACTTTAGGGATGGTAACACTTGTAAATATTAAGTTTGTAACTGTGTCTCCTCACCGTTGTGCGCACCTACCATGCAGGATCACCTGAAAGTCCTTGAATGTCATATCATGTCTTCCTCGATACTCAATATTAAATTATTTTAGTGAGAAAACACTGAATTGATGTTACTCCATTATGGTTCTGGTAGCTTATGTTGCATTTCCCCTGTTGAGATGGAGGAACAACAACCTGAACACTCAAAGACTACGGATGTGTATAGAACGCAGTACTATCCTTATCATCAAAAGGAAAATATCATGTAAATTATGCAATGTCTATAAAGTTTGATAAAATAAACCGCATAATGCCTCAGCAGAAGCTTCAGGTAAATGGATGTTATGTTATCTTTCAGTAATCGTCAAGCATCCGAGTTCCTTCCACTTGTTCACCAAAGTGAACTTGAGACCAATAAAGCCACCTCATATGCGCACAAAGAGATTCAACTTCATGACTCGCCTTTTCGCGAGCACCTGGTATCATCACTTTTCATAGTGATTCATGAACACATGATCTGTCATCGTATCGCATGATGACAATCACTGGATTGTCTGGTACAAACGCGATTTGTTTACAAACATCGTACAGTTGTAATACGGCTGAAACAAATATATACACATGATATAGAACAATTGTACAATCGACTTTGCTTCTAGCAGTGATTTCTTATAGATGTGGAGAGGGTTTTGTCGCTACTATTCAAATGTCAATTAGTGACATTTTATCTTGATGTTGAGCAATATTCCAACAAATACGTTTTATGGTACAGAACTGTTCCTTCAGGATACACTATCCTTTTCGTGCCCACTTTGTTTGATAGTGATTCATAAACACAAGCTTATGGTATAATCGGAATCTTCTTTCTCGATTTCAGTAAATTTGTCAGACTGTGAAGAGTGAAACAATGATCGATGGTTGAATATTGTGTTCGGAAAACAGCTTGTAATTTAAACAAGATATTGTTAAGAACAAAGAATCTGTAGATTGTATGGTATATATGCTGCTGAATACTTTCCCTGTACAAGTCAGAGGACTGATATGCCTGGCTTATTTTTGTTCCCTTTGACCTTACAAATTGCTTTTATCCAGCCATCTAGCCATTTCCCTGGATAAATGTCCTGATCTAACACTATACTAAGTAATTTCCCATATACAGACAACGATGGCGTATTTATTCGTTTATGATGTGATCTTGACCGAGGACATTTCTATTTTTAAGGAACTTTACAACCAGTTTTTCTTTTGTGTTGAGTGATAGGTCTATTCAGTATTTCATCAGTTTTCATTACTGTTTTCAACATCAACAAGACATGGGTCATTAATATCCCCCGCCACATTGTTCTGTTCCAATTGTCACCACTATTCATTCTTCCTACAAATAACGATACATAAGCTGTTAAATGAAAAAGTCTGTTCCCATTAGGGATAACGTGCACAAAGTCAAGAAACGCGTGACAAGGGCCATAACTCTGTAACACGGTTTCCGTTTTCGAACTCCATCCAGGCATTCATGTCCTAAAAACACATACCAAATTTCGTTTCCCTATCTATAACGGTTTCTGAGAACATCTGTTTTCATTGGGGATACTGTGCACTAAGTCAAGAAACGCATAATAAGGGCCATAACCCTGTAACAAATTGTAACACGGTTTCCGTTTCCGACCTCCATCCAGGCATTCATGTGATAAAAACACATTCCCTATCTATAACGGTTTTGAGAAAATCTGTCCCCACCATCTCGGACAGAGATCGAACCTCATGGCGGGGGATAATAAACACATATTCAGTATAGGCAATACTTCAGGCGTACTTTCGTTTATGGTGTTGAAATAATTACAAAAGAATCTAAACTAAGGTTGCAAGCTCCCTTTTCCAACGTGCAGGAATTTCCAAAAACGCTTTTGATGATTAATTATTAATGAGGATAATTTATTTTGGAAGGTACTAGTATTATGCACATTATGTTTTTTTTACATGGTTCTTTATATGTTTTGTTTGCTTTAAAACACATTTGAATGTTACCAACCAATTTGGCCGTGCATAAGAGACAGTTGGGCTTTTTCATCTTAACTCCGAACGTATATTTTGCAGCAATCGTAAATATATTTAGTAATTGTTCAAAAGATTTACTGAGAGTCTCAGTGTGATGATTACTCAGCCAGGCCTTATCTATTGTGGAATGATGTTGCAGTACTTTGCAGGGTCTCTAGGGTCCAGGGCCTAGATTTGCAAAGCTCTCTCAGCGTTAAGATATTCGTAAGTCATTGTTAATGTATGTCTCTTACGACTATCTTAGCGCTAAGAGAGTTTCGAAAATCTAGGCCCAGGATACTCTAACATTATCTTACTTGATAGTGATTCATAAACACGTGCCTCAGATTTAGGAATTTGGTGCACAATTTTACTTGTTGTTAGTTGGTCTCACACTGAGTTCTCTTGTGGACCAATTTCGGAAGTTTCAACTTGGGAATCAAGATGACTTAATGAGTGAGTGAGTATGGTTTTATGTCGCTTTTAGCAATATTCCAGCAAATTCACGGCGGGAGACACAAGAAATGGGCTTTACACATTGTACCCATGTGGGGAATCGAACCCGGGCCTTCGGCGTGGCGAGCGAACGCCTTAACCACTGGGTTACCCCACCGCCCCTGACGTAACAAGATATTGTAGGAATAGTATAGTTTACTTTGCAGAGATTTCTTATGATGACGGAAATGATCATGATTATTAACACATGAATAGTTTTACACATTAGTGGTAGTGTTAGCAGCATGAGTGTCTCCATGTTGGTGTCCCTGTTTATATCATTACAACATAACCATAAAGGTAAAAACTTACCCGGACAGGTGTTAAGGTCAATTCAGTTTCATGTGACCAGACAAGACAATACCGACAATAAGACTTATGAAAATACTAGTTAAATACTTTTGTTCTGTAAAGTTTGGAGAGAAGCTTCCGTGTTTTCAGTGTATAACTATGCACCGCGAGGTTGCCAAATGTAACTGTGAATTGTACAATAAATTCAAAGGATAAGACATCGGTTAATTCATAAATCTGCATGTAACAGTTTTCTTTCGAAAATGCAAGTCACTATTCCCGCCGCTATTTATATGACAAAGTGTGTGTGTGTGTGTGTGTGTGTGTGTGTGTGTGTGTGTGTGTGTGTGTGTGTGTGTGTGTGTGTGTGTGTGTGTGTGTGTGTGTGTGTGTGTGTGTGTGTGTGTGTGTGTGTGTGTGTGTGTGTGTGTGTGTGTGTGTGTGTGTGTGTGTGTGTGTGTGTGTGTCTTGGTTTAGAGTTTCCATTCATTCAGTGATTCAAACGTTTTTAGTTGACATTTTGTGCTGGGTACAACCAAAGTGACCATGCCTCAGGTGACACGTGGGACTCCTATTCAGATGCACGTCTGTCTGACACCCATGACTTGAAAGGAAGCACGCACTAGGTAATTCCTAGTTATCCATTGCAGAGGTGCCTGTAAACCAGTAGCTTCCCTTAGCCATGCCAAGATTCACTGACAATTGGTTCGAATACGAGATTACTCCTATTTATCATGTATTGTCAGTACTAAATACGTTGGGTGACATGACACCTGTTAGTAGTGAACGTACTATCTATAGTAACAACAACTGAGCACAGGTTTGCACTTTAGTCACATATAAATACGACTTCCACTCCTTTGCAATAGTCATCGGTACGACTTTGTGATACATTTAGCCAAACCTTATCAGGTCAGGCTGAGGATCAGCACCCAAGAGAATGACTTCAACGAAAGAAGCAAATTTTGACAGAATCTTTGACGCATTAGGATGGAGGGGAAGATATCAAGTGATACAAATCTTTTTTGCCTCACTAATGTTACTGCCATACGCAGTCAATACGATGAGCATCATATTCATAGGTAAGTCCCAACTTCACGAGATCAATAGTTAAAGGGACGGTGGGGTAGCCAAGTGGTAAAACGTTCGCTCGTCACGCCAAAGACCCGGGTTCGATTCCTCATCTGGGTACAATGTGTGAAGCCCATTTCTGGTGTCCCCGCCTTGATATTGCTGAAATATTGCTAAAAGCGGCGTAAAACTAAGCTTACTCACTCACTCAACAGTTAAATACCCATACCTTTTTCAAACTTTCTATTTAACGCACACCGATTCACTGCATAATCCAAAATTATATCCAAATATATGTTTTTAGGATTGCAAACATAAGGGGCGATTTGGTTATAGTCATATGCAAACGCTACCGTGACACACAAACAACAAACGGAATCAAATAAGGGATCAGTCGTTTTGAAATGGACAGAAGAGACTTACTTTTATCGAGGTGTATGTACGTCATTACAATGACAGTATCATACGTAACGTCATGTAAAGGGTATCATTTTCCCTCAGGAATTCATGTCCCGAGCCACTGTAACGTTCTGAAGAATGAAACATCTGTTGTTGAGAGTCTCGGGTTTCAAGCAGACATCTCTGACTTGAACATAACACACCATGAATGTGGAATCAGCATTACGTCAACTTTATCCGGACATTCTGAAGAGCTTTCGTGTATAGAAGGTCGTCAGTACGAACAACCGTGGGAACTCTCACTTGTTTCTGAGGTAAGAGAACTACAAAGAAGGAATTGTCAACGATTAAATCATCTTATATTACTGATAAACCCAGCAAAAAAACATGATACAGCCTAGGCGTTTCGTTTGAAGAATGGAAAACTGTCATGTTCTACCCTATACACGTGAACATACCTTTAGCTGCTTTTGACAAACTGTCATTTATGCTCTTAAATATAACACTACAGTGTTGCAAAATCGTGGAGTTTGTGATTGTGACAAATGACAATTTCTCTGTCATGTCCTACATATGTCTTCTATGATTTTTAGTGAGGCGTTGATATTGTAACAGTGAAAACACAGCTTTTGAGAAACAGTTGTAAAACACTCTTTGTAACCACCGTTAAATGAGCATGTTCGATTACACATCAGGATTTGTAAAACGTTGACACCAACAGCTAGAGCTGCTGGAACATTGAACGACACAGAGGACATTTTTTTAAAGTTGACGTCATTTCCTAGTCATACAGTCTTTTATACGTTTTTATTACTCTAAATGTTTGTTCATAGATCCAAGATGAAAAATATGATGCGGTCACCTGGTCTCTTATATTTCTAGTTCAAGTGCAGAAATCAGTGAGAGGGTATTGGCTGCCTGACCATTCTGAAGTGATATTAGATCAAGTAACATGACGTTTAAGTTTAGCTGAAGTTAAACCAAATGCTCTTGTTTTAAAATCATAACAATTAAATCATGTCCTTCGGAAGTCCAACCAAACACTCTCTTCTCTCTTTCTGTATTTCACAACACAGAGCATGTTCGTCTTTGTTTTTCTTAAGAACTAGAACACTGTCAGTTTTTTCTGCTCCAATGGAAACATTTGTATATTTATAAAGAGAACAGATTTGTATCCAAAGAAATATAATTTCCCGTCTGATTTCAGTGGGACATCGTCTGTGAAAAGGAAAGTCTTGCTGACCTTCTTCAGACCCTCTTAATGTTTGGTATGGGTATTGGCTCGGTCTTGTTCACATTGCTATCGGACATGTATGGACGCAAGTTCTCCAACATACTGGCTGGACTTTGTTTCTTTGCAACCAGCACTGCCATGTCATTTGTACCAACATATGCTGGTTTTGCCGTCATGAAGGTTATACAAGGGGCAACGTTGGTGGTAGTGTATATAAAAGTTTACATAATACTATCAAGGTTTTCGAATATGGTGATTATTGTTCTGTCTTAATATGTTATTGCTATTTCATTCACTTGTTGAAATAATAACTCGGGAGTGTGGCGTAAAACTAAACTCACTCACTAATAAGTTGGATAATCATGGGTTTTAATTATTAACTAAAATATTACTGTCGACGTTATGTTAGAAGTTTGTAACGGTCGAAATAGTCACTTGATTATAGTGGGTGATTTTGGTTTTATGCAGCCTTGAGTGCATGATTTCGGTTTACCCGTGACGTGTGAATGTTAACCTGAAGAACTGTTTCCGGGACAGATCCAAGAGCACCTCGACTCTTTTTGTTCATTCATATTTTAATTTCTCAAAACCATTTTGTTCAACCTTTTTGCAACTCCTTGTAGATTATATGTGACATGATCTTCACTTCAGGGTGCTACTTTAACTTCGTCTACGCTCAGTCTGGAAATCGTTCCAACCAGACACAGATCAAAGGTTGGGTTCATAAGAAATCTTTTCTCGTCACTGTCGGTTGTAATCTATGCAGTTGCGGCCTACCTGATGAAAGATTTCAACTGGAGGTATCACCAGTTAATTGCTGGCCTCACATCAGGCTACTATATATTTTTACCATGGTGAGTTTGAATCATACCTATATATAATTAATTAAAATGTTCGTTTTCAGCGAACTGGACGAAATGGGATGTGTAGTTGAAGCAACCTGGCCATTTTCTTTGAAAGTTTCTTGGGTATGATGCATTTGAGAGCAAGACATGTAAACATCTCTTAACACTTTATGGGCACTCTTGCAACGTTTCTGTCATGATGCCAACACCAGGTACACAATCTTTCAGTACGCCCAATGGAAATCGACTTTTACCTGAGGAACCGCATGTGTTTGGTCATCAGTATTTTCTGGATCATAAACGCTGGTAGTTAATTCTACTGTTTTCGCTGTATTAAGTGTGATACAACATACAGCATGATTATTGTGTGCACGTGGATGATTGCGTGCTTGAGGATGACTGTGGGTCATAGACTAAATGTATATGTGTGACATGCTGATTTTGCTGGAGTACCTCAGGGTTCAGTATTGGGGCAGCTCTTGTTTATTGTTTATATAAATGATATAGTTGAAGGTATAAATAGTAATATACGCCTTTTTGCGGATGATACTTTTTTATATGGGATCAGTGATGATCCCAAGGTAAATGCTATTGTAATGAACGATGATTTACAACGACTTGCCGAATGGGCAGAAAAATGGCAAGTATCTTTTAATCCCAATAAAACAGAGTCAATACGCTTTACTCGTAAATTGCAACCATCTCCAATGCCTAGCCTAACCATGAATGTCATTAATTGCGTTCAAAGCCATAAACATTTAGGTCTTTTACTTCAGCATGATTCCTCATGGAGTGAACACATTAACGACTGTGCTAAAAACCGAAAAAACATTAAAAACCATGTACAAACAGTTCATATTACTAGTTTTTGATAATTGCAGTCATTTATTGGATAATTGTACTAAACAGCAAGCAGATATACTTGAAAACCTCAATCTTGATGCTCTAAGAACCGTGTGTGGTGCTGTTCGTGGTACCAGCCATCATAAAATATACAAAGAAACTAATTGTCACCCGTTGTGTCATAGAATATAACTTCATAAAATGACTATGTTTTACAAAATGGTTAATAACGCTACGCCAAGTTATCATAGTAATCTTGTTCCGCCTAGAGTATGAGATGTCGTTGGTTGTAATCTGCGCGATGATTCAAATCTTCAGACTATAAACTGTAAATAATCTGTAAATTATACGAGGTCCTTTCTCCCAGATACTGTTAAATGATGGGATTCATTACCAGGGAATCACCGTGCCTATAGAGATTCAAAAATGTAATTTTAAACGATTCGAATATCTACAGTCATTTTGACTTAAAATTTCAGTAGCAGATTTTGTCAAATCATACATTCTCGTCTCCGACTTGATGTAGTGACCTTAATGTGCACAAATATGAAAGACTTATATCTCCAACATCATCTTGCTCTTGTGGCCATAACTATCATTATCATTATTTCTTTTCATGTACTCTTTACAACGATATACGTCAAATTATGCATTTTCATACTAATGGATTTGACCTAAAATCAATTTTGTTTGGAAACCAAAGCTGTTCCTCAATAGTAAACAAAGAACTTTTAATTTCAGTGCACCCGTTTATAAATTTAACTGGAGATTTGATCCAAAATAATTTGTTTATATGACATATACTGATTAACAATGATTGGCGTTATTTCTCGTTTTGGCATCATTTATATATCATTCACATATGCATTGTACATTCATCATGACATGTTTACTCTTCCTTCCATTGTATCCCGGAGCGGTATTCATAAAAGCTTATGCTTAGTTTACCAATCCGGTTCCTTTCTTTGGAAAAAATATGTTTAAAACATGTGTTACATTTCAGTTTGTTATCCGTGTGAGCATTGACTGTTAGCCTCTTTACAGGGTAATGGACGAATCCTCAAGGTGGTTGGCAGCAAAGAAGAAATACAGTATCATAGAACGGAATTTGAAGAAGGCTAGCCATATGAATCATAGGGACGCAGGCCATATCATAACGCTGTTCAGAGAAAAAGTAAAAGAACCAAACGTTCCTGATCAAAACCCTCTCTTATCGTCAGACACTCACCGGGATCCAAATGAACACAGTCAGGGTGTTTCAAAAACTGAGGGAATAGACGAATTCCTGCAAATATTCAAAGACAGACAAATACTCACTTTATCAGCAATTCTGTGTTTTATATGGTAAATAAATGCACATGCATGCATCGATAATATGCACATTTATCTTTTGTGTGATGTGAGAATGATGTTTTGTAAATATTTTTGTAAATATGTGTGGTAAGAAAAACATAATCGGGCAAAAATAATTATTTTAAACACCATTATCTTTTAACGGTGAGGTTACTGTCATATTCCTTTATCAGATTTTATTTTGTGATTAGGGTGACAGATAGTTTAACATACCACGGACTTAGTCTCAACGCCACACAGTTCCACAGTAACAAATACATCGCCTTTGGTCTGAGTGCTGTCACAGAAGTGTTTGCTGCTGTCGCCTTCTGGCTCACAGTCGACAGGTAATGATACATTCAAATATGGAATATTGGTTTGTTGAATGATTCAGATCTTAACTGGTTCAAACTTACGATATAAGTGAATGTCACCGGGTCACTATTACCACAATATAATGTGGAACATGTTTATATTTCTGGAAATATTAAACATACTTGAAAAGCCATCATGTGTTTACTTGCCATTGGCTCAGGACACTCAACCCTCATTAACCTCATTATGACAACCCTCAACACTCCCAATACATCGATAGTTCAGCTGATTTAGGACAACCCTCATTAACCTAGGTTAACCTCGTCGTAATCTACAATCGTTATGAAGAGGGACGTTGGTTAAGTTTCAACTTTTGTATATTTCTGTGTAGATTCGGAAGGAGGAAAACATGTTTGGCCTGTCATCTGATAGCAGCCGTGTCGCTGATAACATCGGTCATATTCAACCATTTCACGGGTTAGCATCGCTGTTGCTTTGTTTTACTAGCTTACAATCATAATCCAAGACTTGGTATCCATAATCTGACACCTCACTGAGCTAACTGACTAAAATGTTCATTTTCTTGAATGAAAATAAAGTGGATATCTTTCCTGGTTTGCCTTGTAAAGGATGTCAACAACGAGCTGAGTCAGCTATTCATCCGCGTCCTTTCTCACTGTTACGTTGGTACCAACGATGACAGGATATGTCCTAATGTAGGCAGTATGTTTCAGATGTTGTACCAACCCTCAGTGTGGAGATATGTCCTAATGTTGGCAATATGTTTCAGATGTTGTACCAACCCTCAGTGTGGCTGTCAGTACATTGTCGCTGATTGGAAAATTTGGAGCTGCGACCTCATTTAATGTGCTGTATCTGTATACTCCAGAAATATTTCCAACTACAATACGGTAAGACAGATATCCCTTACTGGTGGACCTCTACAGTAAATAGGACCGTATTTCGTGCGGTAGATAAAAAGATTATCGAAATATTTTTGTACCCAGATTTCATTAATGATATCCAAATTCAAGCGCCAAAACCCTTACCACATTCATACGAAATCAATTGTACAATTCTGAGTATGTCATGAACGTATGTTCAAGAATCGATGTGAAAATAGTGATGGCAACAGGTTTTCGCAAGTGAGCCTCTCCCGCCCCACTGGCGATATCCGTCATAAACATTTGCAAAACCTTCATCTGAAAAGAATTAAAACACGGTTTGAATAGACAAAATATGGAGTTGCAGCAGACATCAGTGTTGTCACTGGTGCGTTTAGATTTGGAAATGCCCTCCACATATCTGCCATAAAACATTTTCAAAGCTTTACGCAGGATGTCATAACCTTGATCTGAGCACGAGTCATATGACGCTATTTGAAATCTAATTAAAAGAGCACGCTCGATGGTACCCCAAATGTTGTGAAATAATACTATTCACACTTTGCTAAGGATCAAATCATCAATTCAACAGGAAACTATGATGTAAGGTCAAATTTGGTTTAAATATCTAAGCATATTGAAAGCATGGTTCCTAGGTTTCAGTATGTCATTGCATCTTGTGGATCCCATACCTGCTATTGGCAGGTGTTGTTATTTGTCAATGACTTGTTCCATGATTTGCAAAGCGGTTGATTGGTACCATGAAAACCATTTTTATGGTTACTCATGTATCAAGTGCATAAGGTTAGAATAGAGTGGCTGTCTGCCTAAAGAGGATTTATCATATTATTTTTATCCAGTTTTAAATGAATACAATTTCATATTATAAATCTACGTTTAAGTAAAGTTGTGAAGTTTGGTGATCCTTATCAAAGTGTGAGTAGTATAAGAAAACAAAAGGCTGGAACTGTAGGAATATTGCTCCACATGACGGGAAAGTTCACAATTGGAGAGTTCAAATCATCCCTTTTGTCATACAGACTCATGGAGAGCTTACAGTTGAACCGTTGCACATAGAACTAAACATCACAAACATGAGGCGGTCCAACTTGTCACCTTTATTGCAAGTTCGGTTGAATAAGTGGAAGTTTATTGAGTATTTGACGGTTATTGAACGAGATAAGATTATCGATATACACGTAGCTTGTCCAAATTACCCAAATAACTTTGTTTTGATGTTGACAACCCAAGCACAAATTCTGATTCAAGTGTATTAAGAAACAGATCTGCAAAGAGGGCAGCACAACTGCTGTCCATTAGAATTCCTGCTTCTTGCCCTTATGCTTTACCCACAATTTCACATGGATGTTAACACTCAGGACGCCCAGCGTTTCACATTTTGTTTGTTTGTTCACATTTCTGTTTTGACAAATTGTTCCGCACATTTGTCCTGATATGTAATATACAGTTTTGTAGGATGGTTCTGTACAACGTTGGAACGTTAAATGTTTTCGCAGAACCGTTTCTAAGATTGTAAAAATTCAAACATTTATTTGAGATATTTTCCGAATCCACATGATGATAAATCTTACAATGGACTCTGGATTTAGCAGAATTCTTTTATCATTATGCTTTTTATCCCTTTTATTTTATTGAACAAACATAAGATGATAAACATTTACGTCATGTGAAGACTTCCTGTTACGTTCTGTATGAAAATAATTATTCAAAGGACTGATACAGTTATTAGCTGAGAGGTCAGGAAAGTAGAATCAATATGAATGTCACAAACAGGAATAGGTGATACACCCGAAATAAATTGTAAATTAATTGTTTTCAGAGGAACGTTTCGATCAGAAGAAGATAGAAACTTTATTTCTATTGTGTATATTTCAGGAATGTTGGGTTTGGTCTTGGATCCCTCGCAGGAAGAGTAGGTGGACTATTTGCTCCATTTTCCAGGATGCTGGTGAGACTTCTACTAAGAGTTGTTTTATTTTACTACACTACATGTGTGTATTTGCTCTCTAACCAATAACTGTATTTCTCATAACACATGATTGCCTGGAATGTATTTTGTAATATCTACTCATCATTGATTACTGAATATGAAATACACACAGAACATTATACATGGAAGTCGATTTATCCAGGATTAATTGTTTGAAGTATCATCCGGTACAGTATTGTAACCTTTCTATACAAAGTCAACAATAGGATAGTGTGTTTATTACAAGTGTTCATGTCATAGACAGACAAACAGACATTATATGTACACATCACTACATGTACAGGATCATGCTACACTAAAGCATTAACAAATATATACACATCCCTTATGAAATTACGACAGACTAAAACTAAAACATGTCTACATGTATACTTAGATACTTTTAAACATTTATCAATTCTATTTTTTTTATATGACGTTGCCTCCCTGCTTAGGCCAATATTTAGTTATTGTGGATTTTTTCCACTATCCACGTTTATATTTAGTCAACTCAGCTTTTGGAATAAATGAATTACGAATATGGATAGGCTTGTGCTGCTTACATCTAGCTATCATCGTCATTACAGATTAAGATACAATAAAACATGTGCAACAAAGAGGGTTTGGGTGATCCTGGCACAGTCAGGCTGGTGAGGTTCATCATCGGTCCAGTGTCCTTCGTATCTTTAAACCCTGATAGCGAATGGGACTTTTCCAAGGCGGCGCTGCCTAGTGGAATCCACTAAAAACATTTTAGAGAAAATGTAAACTCCCCAACACTCAGAAGGGATGTGTTCCTAGCAGTAAAGGTGTTAGGAAGTACCAAAGCTAAGGCACCAAGAACAATGAGGAGAACAAAGGAGGATAAGTTTGTGCTTGTGAAGCAAGAGTGACATATCATACGCGAGGTCCGCATTTTTTGCCTTGTTTCTCCTAAATCTTTTCGATAAAATTTATGTCGAATCTTCAATTATATAAATGTCTTTATAGGTATGGTTTGACTTTATTATGAAATTGTGCATACGCTACACATTAAATAGTGTTCCATTTGTGATCTATATCAGTAAGGGAATGCGAAACGTTTTCAGGCTTTTTAAGAAATATTTACTATAAATGACAGATATTAGTTTCGTATCTCCACGTAGATGAGAGAGTTCTGTTTTAGAGATACTTCGCGCTATACTTCAGTTATATCATGGCATTGTGATCACAAAGAATATCTATTTCATATGGCAGTACCGCAAATATCCCTGGGCACCTGGCACTGTGTTCGGCTCATTGTGCATCGTGGTGGCTATCCTAGTTCGATTTCTGCCAGAAACGAACAAACACGAACTGCCTCAGACAGTTCCTGAAATGAAGCAGTGGCTGAACCAGCAAAGGGAATCACAGAAGAAGAAACAGAAGAAGAGCAGCATCACAGAAAATGGTGCTGATATATTTGTTTGTAGTGATAATGAAAATAATTAACGTGCCCGGAAATAGTGGGGTGCTTTCTGTGGGGAACAGATCCGACTTCTGGTCATCCGTGGAAAACCAATCGAACACCTTTGGGATCAGATCGATAGACGGGTACGTCGACGTCGTATTCCACCACAGAATCTTCAACAAGTTGTTCCATCAGGTTGCTGCAGGAGGAATGGAGAAGGATTCCACAACAAAACATCCAACGGCTGATTCGATTTGTACCCAGGAGGTGTCGGGCAGTGGTAGCAGCTGGAGGTGGTCATACGAAGTACTGACTTCAACACCACCTGGTGGACAACAGTAATGACTGTGATGGCTGTTATTCTCAAGAAATATGGACAAGATAGCAATGCATTGCTCCACAAAATTTCATTCATGTATCTTTGTTTTCCGCTGATCTACACGTCCTTGAATAACACCAAATTTTCATTGATATTTGGGTTTTGCGTTTCTTTTTTTGAAGAGTGTATTTACATTAAGTTTTAATCGATTGTGATGGTACCGTAGCAATCGGTAAAGCTGGCGGGTGGGGTACACCGAGGTGTCTGGCCTTGTCATGATTTATTATAATGTAACGCATTTCGAGTCGGGGGTCATCTCAACAATAGATTTTTTTAACCTTCAATCTTCGCAAAGACACGAGGGCCTGTGGTAGCCTGGTGGTTAAAGCGTTCGCACGTCACGCCGAATACCCGGGTTCGATCCCCACATGGGTACAATGTGTGAAGCCCATTTCTGGTGTCCCCCGCCGTAACATTGCTGGAACATTGCTAAAAGCGGCGAAAACTAAAACACACTCACTCACTCAACTGCCAGTGTGATTCCGTTGTACTGATTTGTATACTTAGTTAATTTTAGAATACAGTTGATAATTATGTCATATCTATTGGTTGTTTTTTTGTTTTGTTTTTGTTGTTTTTTTGGGGGGGTTTAAACCGTAATTCCTTTACGGACTGAATTCAACTTGAGAATGGAATGTAACAATAGGTAAAAGGTACATATACAAGATCATTGTTCAAACCACTACATGCATCTCGAAAGGAAAACAGATAAACCGGTCACTGTTAATATCATCGGTGTGCGGTATACAGTACTGGTATCTTCCTGATTAAATCAAGACATACACGGACACATGCAAAGGCAAAATACATTTTCTCACGTACAATGATCACAAGAAGATTCATAGACAAATCAAAGTGATCATTTGTGATTTTATGTTTGCTCCTTCAACCCGTAGCTTAAATTATTACAATCAGCGTATCCATTGTCACGTGTTGATTCCCAAGCTGAAACTGAAAGTTAACCGGGAATCAGTCCGTAAATGGACTTGGCGTGAAACCAACAAGCAACAAAGCAATTTGATATAATTAACAATTTTGTATTCTAAAAGTATTTAAGTTAATACAACTCACAACAAAGGTATTTCAGTGACACTCTACAAATTCAAAGCAGCATAGTACAAAACTAAGTGATTTTGCAATAAAGACAATGATCGTAATATTCACTTCACTTCAACAATGGTCAAGTTTCCAAAATTTGGCCTAGGCTGCTTATCCTGGGTAAGAATGATTTCGACACAATTGCTGGTTTTCTTGTACCCTGAGATGTAATTATTTGGTTTGGTTGTTGTTGTTGTTGTTGTTGTTTAACGCCGCTCAGCAATATTCCAGATATATGACTGCGGTCTGTAAATAATCGAGTTTGGACCAGACAATCCAGTGATCAACAGGATGCGCATCGTTCTACGATGACATGTGTCAACCAAGTCAGTGAGCCTGACCACCCGATCCCGTTACGGCTGGATGGGTTGGTAATTAAAGATCGATTCTAACCCGGATCATCACGGGTCTAGGATGTAATGAGAGTTAGGGAAGTGTTAGATCTAAGAAAAACACTCCAGAAAATTTTCCAACTTCCTAGCCCATAGGGATGTAGCTTCCGGAGCGCTATAGAGCACATCACTGTGTACCCATCTCCGACTATCCACATATATAAGGGTAATGCTATTATTGAGGGCATTATCATTTGCAGAAGCCCTAGGTCTTCCGTTAACTGCCAGACGAAGGAGAGCAGTTGAAAAAGACCGAGGGCTTCTGCAAATGATAATGCCCTCAAAATAGCATTACCGTTATTATTGCTAAAATACATGGAATTTGTTTTGAAAAGAAAAAGGAAACAATGAAGGAATTTGACTGTAAGTTTACTCAAAACCAACTTTTGACGGGGTTGACTAACCGAATGCAATTACGTCGTTGAACAATTCAAGTGACGTCAAAACAGAACGTGACGATATTCGACCTTGGCCTTTTGACAAGACCATGGCCTGCAACATGTCAAACTATGTCAGACACTACGTCAGTTTTCAGTGTTCGGTTTTGGTCCAACAACAACGTTAATAGTGCATCTGTTAAGGTTAGCACCAGCAAGAAAGCCAATATTACCGCTAAAGCGGGAATCCGGGTTGCTTTGACTTATTTGCCCCAGAATGTCTGCCAGTCTAAAGCCAAAGTCGAATGAACCGTAAGCCCACGCACCCACTATGACGTCACTTGACAACAGAACTGATAGTAGCCCGTCGTTAAGGTTGAGCGGTCCAATATCATTTGCAGCGGTCCGCAAATATCTGATAATAGGAGGGCCGTTTCATGATAGTTCCATGTATTTTGAATGTTGTTATGAACGTTTCTTCCACATAGAACATGAACAACGAACATTACACACAGTAGACTGTTTGGGCAATAGATTAACTCACATCAAGATATAGTACCGACTTGAAAGGCCAGATTCATTGAGTTCATAAGTCATTTGCAATCAAATCAAAACATGTTGGCTACTTTAACCATATGTTTAAAATTAAGTTTAAAACACATTCACACACAACAAAATTATGATAATGCATTTTTGCGCATTGTAAGCATGGCGCAGACACCATTGCTGCCTAAGCCCTAACACTCATACATTCAGGTACTACATCTATTACTGTTTTGGCGGTAACACCGACACACCGAGGCCTTACGATATTGTACAACAAAGAAGTATACATGTGTTAGTGTCTTTGGGTTGTATTTCTTTATGTTGGTACAAAACCTTTTGACCGACATTCCGTGATGGGTGCAACCAAAGGGGCCCTGCGCAAGATGACACGTGGCACTCCAATTCAGACGCACGTCTGTCTGACACCCATGGTAGAAAAGGAAGCACGCACTTGGTAATTCCTAGTTATCCATTAAAAGCAGAGACACCACTACACCAGTTGCGTCCCTTAGCCATGTCATGATCCACTGGCAGTGGGTTCGAATACGAGCGTTCCACTGTTTATCCCTTTTTGTCAATAATATATGCCTTGCTACTCATTAGTCCAATAGCAGTGTCACGGCCAAACTATTTATAGACAATCAGCTGAGCACAGGTTTTCACTTAAGCCAATGGCACATGTAAATATAACGTCCACAACTTTGCAGCTGTAATTGTAACGATATTAATTTATCAAATAACACCTTATCACGCCCAGCTAAGGATTAGTGACAAAGAGGATGGCTTCCACGAAAGAAGTTAATTTTGACAGCATCTATGACGAATTAGGATGGAGGGGAAGATATCAAGTGATTCAAATCTTTTTTGCCACACTGATGGTGCTTCCATACGCATTCAATCTGATGGACATTATATTCATAGGTAAGTTCAATGTCAATCACTTTAACTATACCAAACTATTTCATGGTGTATTTGGGGGGAAATATCGCAATTCGTATCTCAGTTGAGCGAAGTCAATTAAACATCACATCGCAATCGAGATTCCTGTTGTATCAGTAAACAGTACCTTGTCCAAACCAACCATGGTTAGCGCACACCGATTCACTGCAAGAACTCGTCCCAAATGTAGGTTTCTAGGATTAAACTAATATGGTGCAACTAACGTCTCACTGTGCAAGTTTATTGTGTAAATGTTAAATAAAGAGAAATGTGTGAAGGATTACAACAACGTTGAATAGAGTCTATGTTTCAGGATCTTTCGAAATAATTTAGTTCACTTCGCAGGATAGTGAAGATTGTCAGCTATGTTGATGACAACGAACTAGTTTTATGTGGATAACTATTATGAATTGAAGATGCCCTGTTTCCAGCTCAAGAAAGGCTATACGTCCACTTGTTCGTGACCTGACTGGTCTTAAATCTAAGCGGGATCAAAGAAACTTGTTTTGCAAAGACTGAACTAGAGATTGATATGAATTTAGGCAGTAGTTACACATATTTCGTCTGGGGATTCGGGATAGATCGCTCCAGGGCACCTTGTTGTAAAGGGCGGATATGTTGGTTTGGCTCTATAACTGCGCCTCCGTGGTGTAGTGGTTAGAGCATCTGCCCGGAGAGCGGAAGGTCGCGGGTTCGATTCCCGACCGCGTCATACCAAAAGACGTTAAAATATGGTACTTGTTGGTCCCTGCCTGGCGCTCGGCATTAATGGGTACAACAAGGACTGGTCGGCTCGGAGTCAGTATAATGTGTCTGAGTTGGGTATTCATGCTTCACTGCAGCATGGTATCTCAGTGGGCTAGCATTATAAAACCAGCTTCAGTCTGGGCTAGTACAAGCAGCCGCACATACACATACACACGCACGCACGTCGTCATATGAGCGAAATAATCTCCAGCGCGACGTTAAACCCCATTTCACCTCACCTCACCTATGACTGCGGCTCGTTCCTTTACCCTGTGGCTTGTTGTTAATCATATCAGTCAGTTTCACTGACCAAGATTATTTTCACAAGCCACAAAAAAAACACTCAAATATTGCATGACTTTCAACAACATAGGACGCAATTTGTCTCGATTGGCAAAATATTACGATCTCTACATCTAATCTTTGTAGGGTGGGGTAGGAATAGCGCGCCAGTTAGCCCTGTGAGAGGATTGTTAATTTAGGGTACTGTCGCTTTTCTGTTTGTTTTCTGCCTCAGATTTAGTGTCGGTAAGTATTAAATTTGGCATCATAGAAAAGTTCAT